CCTTTTGGCAAATTCAAGAATAATATGCCGTGCAGAGCCTCGAGCGCAGAGGGCCGGGCTATGCCGCCCGGGAGCAGGGACACGGCATGTCCTCCATGGGCCCGGCCTCGCAGGGTGTGCACTACATTCCTCTCTCTCTCGACAAACGGTTCCTAAAACCTGAATTCCCCTTTTGTGCAGCTCATGTTTGGAGCCTTCTAATCTCGTACTTAGCGGCGTCTCTTTCACAGCCTCCCACCTTCCTCCTCTGACGTTATTTCTCCCCAGCCACTGGTCATTTCCTCCCTTAGCCATCACGGTTCCAGAACAACACGGAACGTTTCTCCAGTCGTTTCCCCATTCCAGGACCGCGCAGCCTGGCGCCTTCGAAAGGCTTTCGGCAGAATCGGCAGAATCGTAGGCTCTGGGGCGGTAGTCGCCTTCGCTTAGCTTTTCAAAGTAAGCAATAGGGAAATACAGTGCCAGAGGACAAAGCCGGGAGTGAATACAGATTACGAGCTGCATGTTTTAAGACCTGTAAGAACACCGTATTGAATATCGAGAAGGGCGACCAGACCCTTGTCCTTGGTGACATCTAGAAGAGTAGCAGGCACAGAAGGCAACCCGAGTGTTGAGTGGATCGGGGTACACTGTCTCTCTCTGTCGGAGTCGAACCGCACACAGAGTTAGATGGAAGCGAGTCAGCCTGCTGACTGTTCTTTCTGCTCACACACCTAACCGTCTCAAACACTGAGTTATTTGTTTTTGTTTTCCCAAAAGACGGAGGGCATGACCCTTCTCAATGTTCATTGCACACAATGTGGTCCATCCAACATGGAGAACGACACCGCCTCCACTTGGCCTGACGCTGCTCGCGGCTCCTGCTCGCTGCTCCCGACAACCCACTGGCACACAGCAGCAGGAGTAATCCTTCAAGACCACAAACCCCACCAGGTCTCTCCTGCTCTAAGCGGGCCAGAGGCCTTTCTTGCAATTAGAATGTACTACAAAGTCTTCGCACCACCCAGCAGGCCAATGTGACCTGCTTACCCCTCCGGTCTCATGTCCCACCCCCTGCCCTCGTCCACGCTGCTCCAACCCCACTGGCCCTTTCACAGACGCGCTACCCTGCCGGTTCATTCTCACCACAGAGCCTGTGCACCTGCCGGTCCCTGCCCGGGATGCTTTTCCTGTCATTTGGTCTCCGGAGCGCCCTCTCTGTCCAGCACCTCTGTCAGGTGGCCCCATTTCCCTTTCTTTACGGCAGTTATCATCGGACTCATGTCCAATTGCTCATTATCTGTCATGGAATGGAATGCCAGCTCTGATCGCCGCCGCCCTGGGGCTCAGCAGCTCTGCGTGGGCTCGATGCACAGCGAGCTGTGTGGTGCTCACAGTTGGCTACTGCATCTGGGCTGCTTTGCCTTGTGAGACGGTGAAATGACGAGGGCGCTGGGTAAGGGCAGAGGGAGGCCGGGTCCTCGTGACCTTGGCTTCAATGACGCTGACGGAAACCTAAGGCAACATCTGACCCTGTGAGGAGGAAGAGCCAATTCCCAAGAGGAGGCCGAGTGCAGGGCTAGGCTGGAGCTAGGCTGGGGCTAGGTCAGGGTCAGGGTCAGGGAGCTGAGAAGCAGGGGTGATCCTTGTTCCCAGACACCGACAACAGGAAGTGCTACTTCTGTCCTCACTGCAGGGCCACATGTGAAGGCTCCACCTGCATCCCCTGTGACCCCGTCAGGCACTCACTAGCCCGGAGCACGTCCTGCGCAAGGCAGTCAGGCCCTGCTAGGGGGCTAGAATGCAGCTCCGAGTAAGGCCCGGGCTGTCCCTCCTCAGGGAGTTGTCTTTCTAGAGGGACCGACAGGTGATCAGTGAACGAACAAATGAGGCAAGACCATTTCAGACCTCGGCAGTGAAGGCAAGGAGTAGATGAGCATTGGGGAGGTGTGGAGGAGGAAGGGATGCAGATCGGATGTCCAAGGGGCCTCTGCAGCCTGAGATGCTGAAGGGGAAGACCTAGGGATCCAGCCAACGACAGGAATGGCAGGGCCGGGAGCAGGAACCGAGTGGAGAATTGGCAGCTGTGGGGTTCCGGAGGAGCCTCCAGGACCGCTCACCGTCTGCCTTGGCACTGTCCCACCCGCCCTCCTTGGACAAAGCCTGAGCTGCTGAAGGTGCTGCATACCCACAGATGGCCTCCCACCAAGCTCCCTTGCCCGGAAGCACTGAAGCAAGCCACGTCGCAGAAAGTGGAGGCATGTCTGATGCCTTCACAGACTGTCACATCGAAACCTGCTCTGAGGGTGTCAAAGCTTTTTTGGCTTTTTAATTTTAAGGTGTTTGTTTATTCGTTTGCTTGTTTTGGCACATGCACTTAACAGAGAGAAAGGGAGAGAAAGAGAGAAGGTGACAAAGCATCACCCGGGGCACGGCCGTGCCACAATCCCTTCTCTTCCATCTTCCTTTTGGGATTTTGGGCACACAAGCACATGCACCTTCCAGGACTTTCTTTTTCTTTTTCTCTTTCCTTTGGAGAGGCTTTTGCTATAGGGCGCGTGCGCTCGACAGAAAGAGAGAGACAGAGAGACAGAAGGCGAGAAATCACCCCCAGGGGGGATAGCCACGCCGCAGAGCTTTCTCCTCCATCCTCCTCCCGGGATCTTAGGCACGCACACACACACATGCCGCCCGGCGTGAGTTGAAGCCGCCAGCTCCAGGACTTGAACCGCAGTCAACTACATGGGTGTCCAGCGACATAGCCATTAAGCCAACTGCTGGTCCCGCATCTGCCATGATTGAACATCGCCATCAGCCACATGTGACCTAGCCGCCCTGGCCACCAGCCATCGCTGGCCCTCCTTTCTAAGTTACTTGGATCTTCTTTGATGAGCCTAGAACCATCCCACTCAAGAGCCCAGCTAGAAGAGGACCCAAGGCTATTTGCTCTTTAATCGAGGCTGTATCTAAACGTCAATATTTCAGAACACTTAAATATTCTCAAAGCATAAACATTGAGCCATGACTCTTCAGTAACATAACAGCTTGTTTCAGAACGCCCTGCAAGTGAGCACGCAGCTGTGTTTATACACGCACATAGAGATAGTAGAACAGTTACTGTGGAAATCAGATTTCAGAAAGTCTCAGAAAACGATGGACAAGAAAGGTCAGTGCTTATTTAATTCAGTAAAATGCCTTAACACTTCCTTCAGTTCCTGGACGTACACCCAGGGAGGAAATGATATTACGGGGTCGGGGGAGAGGGCTGTGGACCAAACACTCATTTCGTCTTCTCTTTCTCCTTTTCCTTCCTGTCCCTTTGCCAGAGGATGTATGTATTCTTTGGAGAGAGAGACAGAGAGACAGAGAAGGAGAGAAATCACACCCCATGGGTGTGGTCACACAGCAATCCCTCTCCTCCATCTCTCCTTCCTTTCAGTATTTTGGGTCTGTGTGTACACGCACGCGTGCACATACATGTGCCTGAAGTGTTTCTGTGGGACTCAAACCGCGTGTTTGGCCACGTGGGATCCAGGCACCTTAATCACCAGGCCACCAGCTCGCCCCAAAGATATTTATTTCAATTTCAATATCACCTCTAATGGTGTGTACACACGTACACACACGCAAACAGAAGTAAACACAGTTTGTAGTAACAGACCTGCATCATTAAGTACCCAGAGCAACTCTGTTTCCATAAATAAGGCATTCAAAATGACCAGATCCTGAAACAAGGATTTGCACAGGGATTTACACGAGTGGGTCACTTCCTCACCTTGTCTTCTAGAACTAAGTTTCCAGCATTTCTAATGGAGCAGGACATGGAGTCAGCCGGTCAGAGTCCGACAAGCCAAGGAATGAGATGTTCGATTTTCCACTTTTGCTACGCGTGAGGCTTCCTGCCTCTGGTGCAGTTGGAGCAGTGTTGGCTAGTGCTGATACCCTTGTGTGTAGCTTTAAACGTTCTTCTCATTTTATAAAACAGGGAAAACCGGAATAGAAAAGCCTGGTAACTGTAGGAAACCAGCCTTGCGTGAAGGTAAAAGATTGCCCAGTTATCTTCTGCTTGCTGGGGCAGTTTCCAAAGGGGTACCCGAGCGACTCTGAACTGAGGTTGCCTCTGGATCAGGAGCCGAGGACATGGGGTCTTATCCTGATGTGGCTTTGCACATACTGGGGGATCAATGAGAGGTTTCTCCACTGGTTTAAAATTTTCAAAGAAAATAGTTGGGGACAAAATTCTGGGGTAGCTAAGGTATTTACACATAGTCTGTGTAAGAGAGGGTATCACAAATTATGAAGCCATAAATTCCACTAGTGATATTTGTTATTATTAGAAACAGTTAATTTCTGTAAGCAGTCTCCCTATTTAGTAATGACTTCATTTCTTTTATTTTGCTATTCTACTTAACTTGTAAAAAGGTGTAGTGAGATAAGAAAACATCAGCCTTGAGCTTCGTTTTCTGTGTCTGAGTACATTTTTTTTGGTAGCCACTTTAAGTTTCTAAATAGTGGATCTTTTCTGATTCATGCCACAGACTTGAAGTCTATATGAAGTTCTAGCTTCACGCATTCGAGACACTCATTCAAGGTCATCGGAAACCAGCCAGCAGAGGAGCCCACTGGGGGCCCCCGGGAAGTGAGCACAGAGATCAGCAGGACCCTGTGAGTGACACCGAGTGACTTCACCGTCCAGAGAAAGACGGGACGGGGGCGCTGAGGCCAAGAGCCACGTCTTGCTTGAGAAGTGTTGGACAGTGCGTGAGATAGATTGTGTCAACTGCCTGGATGATTTCTACCAGAGTCATTTCACCCACCTGGGACTCGAACCAGCAAGGGGCTGGTCAGCCCATCGCTTTCTGCCTCTTACACTGATGCTAAGCATCTTCATTCCACATTTACACCACCTATCATCCGTTCTTTGCCCTCATTAGGAACGCAGAACTAAAGACAGATGCCATTTTATCCATCGTGGGTTGTGCCCCCCGCCCCCCGCCATTCAGGCCGCACCCATCACTCACCTTGGGCACGCCATCCAGGAGGCTCGTTCCCTTCATGTTGGCGATGTGAGCCAGCTCCTTGGAGCGCTCCGGCTACTATCTCCGGCCTCAGAAGTGAATTATGCAATGTCACTGCATGCTTCTGGCCGCTTCTCGGAAACTGAATTCCATGAAGCCCTCTGACAACACATGGGAAAGTGTCAGACAGATTCTCCCAGTAGGCAAACTTTCTGGAAAGCACGATAAGAGTAAAATGAAAGGGGCGACGGAGGTGGGGACCAGAAATACGGGCCACACTCCCTCCTCGGTGCCTGACGCCTCACTCTGTCTATAAGTAGAGGCTGTCACTCATTTGCTGTGTGAAACCACAAAAGAAGAAGAAGAAAAAGCACCCTTCTGTTTTGCAGGGTAAAGTTCCTACTTCAAAAGACTGTGTCTGAACCCACAGCGTCCCTGTCCCTTGAACACGGTGGAGTAACTCCTGTCAAACAGACCAAGCTCATTGCCCTGATGAGAAACCCTGGGACCACACTTTGGAGGGTCAGCACATCTTCCTCCGTGCTCCCTGAGACTCGCCTTACAGCAGCCAGGACAGAACAAGGCAGGCGGCATGCCTTGAAGGACAGCGCCCGCTCTGTCTGTCCCTCAGTTGCACGCTCTGCTGCTCTGAAGCCCTTGCCCACCTCCTGGCCTTTGCACACAATACTTGCTGACTAATGTTTTCTGAATGCTGACTCGGCACCGAGGACCATGCTGAGCACTGCCCAGGTTATCTCTGAAATCTAACGAGCCCGTGGCCTGTGCTGGAAACCACCATGCTAGCTTGCACAGTTCGTGGGCTTCCAAGTCTTTTTCTCTCACTCTCTCTTTTTTGCTGTAAGCCATGTGTACTCACTGTAAAGAGAGAAAGTGGAAAAGCACCCCCTAGGGGTATGACAATGTTGCAATCCCTTTTCTATTTCTGCCTCCTTTCAAGATTTTGGGCAGACACGCACATGTGCCTGGCATGTTTTTCTTTCTTTCTTTTCCTTTTTTTTTTTTTTTCTTTAAGAGGGATTTTTGCTATGGGGCACATGCGCTAACCAGAGAAACAGAGAGATAGAAAGGGAGAAATCCCTGGCGGGGGTGGGGGTGGGGTGGCCACACCACACAATCCCTTCTTTTCCATTCTCCTCTTGGGATTTTGGGTACATATGCCTGGCGTGAGTTTTAAGCTATTGGACCTGGGACTCGAACTGCAGTTGACTGCATGGGAGTCCAGCAATGTAACCATTATGCCATCTGCTGGTCCCACCTGGTGTGTTTTTTAAGCCACCAGATCTGGGACTTGAACTGTGCTGTTGGCCATGTGGTAACCAGTCACCCCCAACCACCATGCCACCTGACTGGACCCCAAGTCTTTACTTTCTCAAAATTCAGACCCAGTATCTGGATAGGGCCCGCAGCTAGCAGATTCTGTACGGGGGGGGGGGGGGGGAAGCTTGCATTTTCATTTTATTTAAACCAAATGAGACCAATTCTTCCCAGCCCGGCTCAAGTTCCATCCCCAATAGCTCTGTCTCTTCTTGCCCTTATGGCACTTACTGCCTTGTCTTCTGGTTGTCCCAGTACAGTCCCCACGTCTGATCTCCAGGATGTATTGACTGATTGGTTTCTGGCCGAGACAGCCCATATTCTGCCAGTGTTGGAAATTTACCTTTGGCAGCGCGGTACTGGCATGCTGCAGATGGTGGCAGGTAACGGGGAAGGAACAACGGCCCACAGAAGGAACCCAGCACACAGAGGCCACATGGGAAGCCTGGGTTTGACTGGGCTCGATTCCTGGCCCATCCTGAAAGCGGGGTGCAGTGGCACACCATCTGTGGTCCCAGCTACTTGGGGGGATCATGACACATCAAGGTCTTGGCTACAAGAATGAAAAACCTCAAGTCCAAAGTTCCTCCCGTTCCCTTCCTTCAGGGAAAGTCCTTTTTCCAGCAGTTAAGTCAGGCTGGAGGGGCTGTTCCAGCCTGTGCTGGCCTCTGCACCCTTACCCCAGACAGGGATCGATTTGCAGATGGGGAAGCAAGAATAATCCCAGCCAGGGTCAAATGGCTTTGGGGTGCTGGGAGGAAGGCTTCCTGGCTCCTGAGATGGTGTCTGGTGGTCGGCCTGTGGGAAGCTCTGCCACCTTGGGAGTGTCTGCCAGAGGAGCCCGCACTTGGATGGGGCGGCAAAGAGCCAAGGACCCAGGGCTGCTGAAGCTCCAGCAATGGCAGGGCCTGCAGGGCCACCTCTAGGCATGCCAGTCACCTTTGGGCCGCACTCCTGGACCCTGAAAGCAACAGCTTCTACTCGCCCTGTGCGTCCTGTGTTCCAGGCGCTGCTCTGCTGCACACCACAGAGACGGAACTCAGATCGTCCAGCCTGTAGCCTTGGAAGGTGGCCACGCGAGTGCGATTCCCATTCCCCCGGTGAGGAGCTGAGGGGAGAGAGACAGCAAAGAGCAGAGAGGGAGAAGGAGAGAGAATGTCGGCTCTAAAATCAACCTACTTTTTTCAACAAATAAACTCCAAGGGGAAAAAAAGAAGTGGGATCTAAAGGTGAAGACACAAAACACACCAAGTCATGGCATGGGGTCCAGGTTTGCTTCCTGGCCTCGTCTAGAAGCTAGGCTTAGTGGGCCTGAGCCTGGAACCTCAGCAGCTCGAAGGGTGAGGCAGGAGGGCCAGAGCAGAGACCTTGTGTAAATAAATGCATACGTCCCAACGCCTGAGCCGCATTTGGGTCCTGATTCAGAACAAACCATTTATAAGGAAACTTGAACACTGACTAGATCCGTGACAGTGCAGTGTTTCAGATGTAATGTTACCGTGCAAGAAAGAGCAAAGTTAACGAAGCTTGTGAAGTTAAAGTTGGGGATACACTGGGATTCATTGTACTATAGACATTTTGCAGAAATTAAAAATATAAAAGCTTTATTATTATTTTTAAGAGAGATTTTTGCTATAGGACACGTGCATTCGCTGGAGAGACAGAGAGATAGACAGAAAGTGAGAAATCACTCCCCAGGAGGGATGTTCACGGTGCAATCCCTTCTCCTCCATTCTCCTCTTGGGATTTTTGGGCATGCAAGCACACATGTCTGGAGTGAGGGTGAAGCCCCTGAGTCCAGAACTTGAACCGCATCTGGCCATGTGGGAGTCCAGTGACATAACCATTATGCCATCTGCTGGTCCTTGCTTTATTACTGTTTTTAAAAATGTTGTCAGCAGGTACACGCACTCACTGAAGTCAGAGAGGAAGGAGGACACACTCCTCCCGGGGCGTGGCCACACTGCGAGCCCTTCTCCTCCGTGTCTCCATCCCGTCGAGACATGGGACACACACGCACAGGAGCCCGGTGTGCTTTTCAAGCAGCCAGGGCCAGATCTGAGACACGTGGTCGGCCATGAGGGATCCCATTCGTTTTACCAGGAGGCCGCAGAGCACCTTCAGAAACAGGCTTTATTAAGAACTAATCCAGATACCATAAATAATACACTCTTTTCCCCCCCTTAAAACATACTTCCTTTTGGGACCAGCAGATGGCATAATGGCTACCTCGCTGGACTCCAATGTAGTCGACCGCGGTTTGAGTCCCGGACCCAGTGGTTTTAAACTCATGCCGGGCGCGTGTGCGTGTGTGCCCAAGATCCCGAGAACAGAATGGAGGTGAAGGGATTGCAGCTTGGCCATCCCTCCTTGGGGGTGATGTCTCACTTTTTGTCTCTCTGTCTTTCTGGCAAGCACATGCACCCTATAGTAAAAACCTCTCCAAAAACAAAACAACCCCCCCAAAACCCCCAAAACCCTATTTCTTTCTTTCACAAGAGGTATGTGGGGAAGACAGGCACCATCGACACCGGATCCCCTTCTCCCAGTCCTCTAGCTACACAGGATCTAGGCTGCGTGTCTGGCACATTTCTGGTTGACTTAGGATCCCAACCCGAGGTTGGCTGTGTGGCTTCCGGCACCGCAGATCAGTCACTACTGCCTGCACCATGTGGCTGTGTCAAAAGTCACCCTTTAAAAGGTACAATCCGGTGGTTTCAGTGCGTCCCGTTGTGCAGCCATCACCACTATCTCACGTCAGAGCATTTCATCACCCCAAAAAGAAACCCAGCCTCGTCAGCAGCCGCTCCCCACCCTCCCCTCCCTCTGCCCAGGCAACTCATTTCTATGTACTAGCGACTTGTGAACTCTTGAAATAACGCGAGAAAGAGAGGATGGACATACTTGTTCAAGGTCACACAGGGAAGTGACAGCCAGACTGAACCCAAGCCTCTAGGAAAAGAGACTTCCTGGTAGCTGTTTGGACAGTTCCCACGATGATGGCAAAGCCCTGTGGTGATCCTCCCAGGCACTGAGGGCATGCTATAATCTCCATGTCATTATAGACCAGGAACAAAACTGAGATACAAAAGTAGGATTCGACCTTGAAACAGAATGGACTAACTCCTCCCTAGATACCTAAAATATAGAATTTTTTGAATAAGGGGCTCATGTTTTGTCTGGCATTTAATCCCTTTGTGATTTTTCTGAATGGAAGGCATCAAGAAAATACTTTAAGACTTTTTGCTGCAAGTCATTCACATCTTAAGACAGGCGAGTCTTGGGACCAGCAGTTGGTATAATGGCTATGTCACTAGATTCCCACGTAGTCGACCATGGTTCGAGTCTCAGGCCCGGTGGCTTAAACTCACGCAGGGGAGGGGGGGCATGGGGGGGCGTGTGCCTGCATGCTGAAGATCCTGAGAGGAGAATGGAGAAGGGATTGCGGCGTGGCCATCCCCCTGGGGGGGGTGATTTCTTGCTTTTTGTTTCTCTGTCTCTCTCTTTCTGGTGAGCTCACGTGCTCTATAGCAAAAACCTCACAAAAACAAACAAACAAACAAAAAAACAAGACAGGCAAGTCTCTTATGTGCACAAACATGGCAAGAGCTGACTCTTCTAGGAAACGGCGTACTTTCGTAACATCCGACTATCTGAGGTTGAGACAGCTAGAGTTCTAGAGTTCAAGAGAACCACGTTAGGGAGCCTCCAGTGAGGTAATCATCACAGCTTTGACAAACGTGTTATGGGGAAGAGTATTTCAGACTAAATTTTCTTTTCTGAGCTGAGTGAGTCTGACACAAGTTCTGCAGAGCCTGACAAATGTGTAGGAAGGCCCACTGTGTTTTTCTTCTATGCCTTTGTACTGTGTTTGTGTGACTTTCAGCAGTCAACCTCCTCTGCAAGTACGTACACAGTACAGAATTACAAAGCACAGCTGAGCAGCAGTCTTCGTTTTGTTGCTTTTAAAAAAATGTGTGTGTGTGTGTGTGTGTGTGTGTGTGTGTTTAATTTGCTAAAGAGCATGTGCACTCATCAGAGAGAGGAGAGTGAGAAATTATCCCCAGGGCGGATAGTCACACTGCAATCCCTTCTCCATTCTCCTCTCCAAGATTCTGGGACGCATCCACGCCCAGTGTTTCCAAGCCGCTAGGTCTGGGATCCAAGCAGCGTAGTCGGCCACGTGGGATTCAGCTGCCTTCACCACCACACCACCAGCTGGCCCTGAACATCAGGCTTTGAATGTCCCAAACACCAGTGGCCTGGCAGAGGGTTTCAGACTGCACTGCTTTGGAATCATCTGAGATCATCCAGCAGATTTTAATCTCAGGAAGGTAATTCATAAAAGTAGCCTCTTGGGGACCAGCAGTTAGCGTAATGGCTATGTCGCTGGACTCCCACGTAGTT